TGTGGCTCTGAAGGTTTTTGTTTAGTTTTGTGGTTTTTTAAAAAAAGGTCTATTAAACATATGTTTATTTTCCACTGCCAAAAGTGCCAACAAAAGGATTCTGCAACTAGAGACAAGCAAAAACTAACAACAGCTATTGACAAGGTAAACACAGGATGAAGGATATATGCATGATGATGGAATATATCACCAGGACCTAGCTTTTAGGTTGTTCATGGAAACAGCAAGGAAAAAAGTCACAGTCCAAATTCTTTTTTGTGCTGTTGAGATTTGTTTTTTAAATTTATTTTATCGGTCAATTCCACAAGCCTGGGAAACACCTTCATTCCCTATAACCATATAATTTCATTCATTCATTAGTTCCATTGTTTTGTTTATTAGTTCACTCAACCAATATTTAGTATCTTCAGAGCACTTTGGCTGGGTACTCTGGTTTTTTACTTTTTTAAAATAGGATTTATAAGATTTCCAAAAAAGCCCAATTTTAATACCATTAAAAGAATGTCAACGGGTGAAAAAGGTGAAGGAATTAAAAAGTACAAATGGCCAGTTTTAAAAATAGCCATGGGAATGCCAACTTAGCATAGGGAATACAGTCAATAGCATCGTAATAATAATGTATGGTGTCAGATGGGTGCTAGACTTTTGGGGTGATCACTTCACAAGGTTTATAAATGTGTAATCACTATGTGGTACAACTGAAACTAATATAGTATATGTCAACTGTTATTGAAAATTTCTTTAATTTAAAAAAAGAATAGACACATGGGAGGAAAGGCTAACCCTCAATGTTACTCTATCCTTTTTCCCAACACCTTCCTCAATTCCCAGATGTAAGAAATTAAAATCAGTTTACAAACTCTCATTGGCATATCCTGTCTGTCCAAACCTTTGGGAATCAGAGTCTCCAGGGAACCAAACAATCTCCAAAGATCACATGACTAGAGAATTTCCTAAGAGTCAGACAACTCCAGTGTCATTTAGATCTGCCTTTTTTTTCCCTTTTCACACCCTGACCATACAGGACACATACACCTGGACATCCAGACTGTCAGCCTCTGCCCTGAGTCATTGTACTGGCTACTGCACTGTCTCTCTATAAGAGAAAAGCTCTTGCTTTCAGAGAAGATCATGTTTGCTATCTTTTTACTCTTGGGGAAGCAGTGATGAGAAAAGTTGTGGGCAGAGAAGTGGGGAGAAAAGAGTAGATTGTAGAGTTGAGGAAATATCAGCTTGCCATTCTCAACACCTCTCTCTGGTGCCCATTTCTTACCTTCCTTTCTCCTTCCCCTTTGTTTCTCTCCAGGCACCTCCAAGGCAGTGATGGCTCTCCAGAAGACCCTTTCATTGCTTCTGCTCTTGCTGCTGACCCTGCTGGGACTGGGGCTGGTGCAGCCCTCCTATGGCAAGTCCATGTCTGATCAATTCTATTGGCAACATGTGGATTCTAGTGTGACACGTGGTGACGACAGCTACTGCAACGATAGGATGCAAAAACAGGGGATGACTACGGATTCTTGCAAGCAATTGAACACCTTCATCCATGAAAACAACAGCACCATTAATAGCATCTGCAACAACAGAAGTATCCCATGCAAGAATGGCAGGAAGAACTGCCATAAAGGTTCACTGAGAGTCACAGACTGCTTGTATACAGGAGGTTTCCATCCAAACAACTGCAAATATAGTGCCACTGCCAGCACTAGGGATGTTACCATTGCCTGTGAGAGAAACCCCCAAAATGTACTGGTGCCTGTGCACCTTGACGGATAGATACTACCCTGCAGGGGTTATGGGCCTGTGGTTGACCTTTAACTTACTCCTTGAATAGCAACGAGTAATGCATTTGAGCTCTCTCAGGCTCTGCCTCCT